TCAAACAACTTTTCCGCATGCACCAGCGATAGGTTGAACAGTCAATTTGCTTCTGTTTCCGCTATCGCTAATTGGGGTTGTACGCGCTTCGGTCTAATCGGAGATAATGATAATAGTAGTTTCACACACACACACATCCGAGTTCAAACTGTGTGCCAAACGAATCACGGTCCAATGATGTTCACAAATCACTGTTCATAGTTCAAAATCTGCTCGTGGGCCTGATGGTACTAGACCAAAATCGGGGAATTTTCCTAGGGAATTCACAACCTTAACCTTCGGTTATAGTCAAAGCCTGACCCGTAGAGGAAGTGAGACGATGTGTGAAAACCACAATTCATTGGAGCCGGTGTCCAGTGGAACAAATCATACACCCGTTGGTGTTGATGAGTTCTCCGAGCTAGAAGTGTTGTTCGCAGACGTGTCGTAGCCAAGCTAGTCAACTCCAAGGTGTCCAACAAACCGCGATGCCCATTCCAACCAGTGGTCACTATCACAACCACGAGGGGTTGGTTGTGTGGTTGGTACGCCTCTTTGTTGGTTAGTTTTGAATCAGGGCTTTTGTCCATCTCCCCCAGGTAAATTGCTAGTGCCTCACCGACCCGGTGATAGCCCGGGACATTAGCCTTTAGTCCTCTCACTTTGATGGGAAAACACCTCTACCGCGAGAAGGCAGTGAGTGAGGCTTCCTCCGCAGATGCCATTTGATACGCTCGGTCTTATGGGTACATTTCGCGAGGTGGCTCGGAGTGGTTACGAGCCACAAATCGACCATACCAAGGCTTTCGGTGGTACTTGGCAGGTGACCTTGAAATTGCCGCTGATGCTTTGATACCTTGTTTCTTCTACTGTGCTCCTTGCTAACCCAGACCGGCTTCTGTTCGTTTGATACCGTGTGACAACCGCCTCGTCATTGGACCTAAGTAACTCACTGTACCGGTGCATGTGAATGAATACGTATCCACGGATGAGGTGGGGACAGACAGTGAGAAAGGATCGTGTATAGTGTTGCCTCTTTTCTGGCGAGTGTTGTCCGTAGAGTAGTGGCTGATTCAGTGCCGGAAATCGTTTTTTTTTCTTTCTTTTAATTATGTGGCTGATTGCACCATCTTTAAAAGAACAAATATTTTCGTTTTTTTTACTGTCACCGTATCTTATCGTCAATTCTCATCAAACAAGTCATCCCAAGATAGCACACATTAAGTGGATCAAAATTACACCCCGACTAGGGTACGGTTTACCCGACGGGGTTTAGTGATTGCAACACCCTTTCGGTCACGGCCATTTGTATTTAGTTGCTGGCGAATGTGGTATTCTTTTCGGCCAATACCTTTTTGTTTCGGCAATCTGTGGACTGAAAACCTTATGAATGGTTGTGCAATTTTTTTCTGTTTGTCCAATATTTATTCAGATATACCTGTGAATAGTATTTCGATCACTTGTCGTATCTCGTCACATTTTCCGATTTGTGGTGGTGATTAGCGCTCATCGACTCGTAAACACTGACCGCTGTGCTGTTTGCACTCTTGTGCGAAGGCTGAGCAAAAATCGGTTTCCGGCATACGCAGTGCACACGATGAGTACGAGGTGCAGATAAATGATCGGGGTCAGAGAAAACGTGAACTGTAATCCCGGATTGTGAATCCACTGTTCAGTGATTACAACTCACACGAAGAACCAAATGTCAACATAGCCGAGAGCACAGCTCACAAGTCTCTATACTCAGACTATATAAAGATATAAGGATAGTACTCAGTCGATATCGCTGAAGGGCGATGATGTTCTACGATTGCCAATATG